TAAAAACCAAATAGTTGAGCTTCATTGTTTTATTTTCTGCATTTGATAACTTGATGCAAGAGTACCTAAGTCATCACAAGTCTGTTATCATTTTTTCCCACCTTCTTCTTGCAGAATATCAGACTCTGTACAACAATGTTTTTCTGGAGAGAATAGTAGATGTTCTTCACTTCTTTTTATGATGTTATTACATTTTTTTGATCTTTCATGGTGTTCGCGTAATTTTCAAATTTAAAAAAACAAAAGTTTCTGCAAAAGTCCGTAAATTCTTATATCAGCTTCAAAATGTATCAGTTTATGAACATAAAGATTTACAAATATAAATATCAGAGAGACTTTGTACAAACAATACAGTAAACTGTTTGCATATTGATTCAATTCTCAACACAATTTCTTTGTTGACAAAATCCTTAGTGCAAATTGTTAAAAAGTTGATGTATACTGGTTTATGGAGAGGCTTTGTTATATTACCAGTGTCAAGGCAGCCATGGATTTCAGCCACGAATTGATGGAATTTACCGCTAACGCAGAGGCCACCGTTACTCGTTGAAACATACCTATAGGTATGAAAATTCATGACTAGCCATGAAAATTTGCTTTTTAGAGCATTCATACCAGTTATGAAAACAGTGAAGTGAAATCCAATTTCACCTATTCCCGTAATTAAAATAATAGAATACACCTTGTTTTATGAAATTAATAGATATCAATTTGAAACATTATATTACTGCATGAAACAATAGTATTCAGCATATCTTATAACTCCTACATATGCCTTTATTTTGTAGCGGAAAACTCTATCACCTGTGTAGATATGTTTTCAACAAATAATGACATCTAGGATATTTCAGATCACCTATATAGGGTACGTGGATTTGTTCCGGAAAATTTCACATACTGCAACCTTTTAGTCATTTCAATTTGAAAAATTGTACCTCTCGAATGATGAACGTTGCTAGGGATATTTTTACATCAAACAACATGGCGTATTATATTAAATACCTACAGTGTGTTCGATTTCAAACTGCAACACCCTGTTATTTTGGAACCCATGAACCAATTTTGAAAAATAAAAATTTCAAATTATAGTACTCGACAAGCTCCATTCAAAGATGTTGATAGATATGGATTTTTCTTATATTCAAGGCCTACTATGACTTGCTCAATGGGTCAAAATTTAAAACATTTGTCTCAACCCGGTGACAGATTTTGGCAAAATTCTCATGATTTAGATCAATAAGCCAGACACTGTTTTTCATAGCAGGCTTTGAAATTGATATAGTAATTCTTAAAGCTATCGGCGAAGTCAAAGGCCAAAACAACCAATACAAAGAAATAATGCGGGTACAAATTAGTCCACGTGGACTGAAGAATTGGCGGTTCGTATTGGATAATTTTTACTAACCGAGTTTTATGATTGGTTCTAAAGTCATAAAATTAAATTTGAAGTCATGTTACGGTGACCAATAGAATGTGAGGATACTTAGACGAGTCGTGTTGTCAATGTTCAGTTCAGGAACTGATCGCGATTTGAGGGTTGAAATTCGACACTGGTGAAGTTATAATTATTTAAAACGTTTGTTAGTTGTTTGAAATGTGATATCGTTGGACAAGCACTAATAGTAATAACGAGTGTGATAACAACGCAGACTTTTTCCTGTGTAGTGAATCCAATAGCGCTGGTGAACAATGCTAAAAAGAGATACCAGTGAATGAGATTCGGATGCATTTGAGTATTGAAACACAGAGAGTATGTTTCAATGTATATAAGAAACTATTACAAGCAACATCAGATTTGACCGAAATTCATGACACGACACAGTTACGAAAGGGTGGACTGATGGTTCGAGAATGTGTACGCCTAACAAGCCTGCAAACAAAGGATCGCGACTAATCATTGTGCATTGCGAAGGAGGTAAAGGATGGGTTCCCAATTCTTTGAAATTATGTGAAAAAAAACTTAAGGACTGCAATGTTGACTATCATTGTATCAGACAATTGAATGATTTGGAAACGGTACATTGGTAAGCTGAGAGTGAACAACATTTACAGGAAAGATAGAAATGATTTTAACAAAATACTGATCATGATCTAAAATCGACAGTTTCAATAATTCTAAGGTTAGATTCAACGGTGAATATGAATATCGCTAAACTTCCATATTTTGAAAAGACAAATGTGTAGTGTAAGTGATAGAATACAAGAAGGAGTTCAATTTGGTGGTTAATAATAAGGTTTGTTACTGGAAAACACTCTAGACTCAATAAAAGTAATGCTAGTAAGAGTCCAATAAACAAACTTCATCAGATTCAATGATATGGAATAATAATCGACATCAATTATTAAATTGATGGCTGTAGCCGTTACTACGTGCTACGAGATCATCATGAAGAATGGGAAATGGAAGTTTCTATGTTTTATTTGTGAGTAACGTTACTACAGTTCCTTATAGGACGCAACTGTACTATCGTTAGTTACAAATAAAGGTTTAAAAAAAACAGAAAATTTCATTTCTTATTTTTCCTGACATCAATTATGTTTTCAAAAAGTGTAATAATTGAAAACTCCATGTATGTGACCTATTTCTATCATACCTATTTTTGCTCGCTCTGGAGAATTCCAGTTGAATTCCTGAAGAACTTTCAGAATCATTACTTTATCTACCTGTCACTTATTTTCGTAGTACACGAATGTTTTCTGAAGAAATCGATTCTCATGAACACGCCAGCATCCAAAATTTCTAATTCAATAACATTCTCTCGCTGTAGTGAAACAGATTCAGTTTGTGTCATGTAATCGATTAGATGTCATATAAAATATTGCAAGCGGCAACTTTATTTCGGGAAACTAGTGCTCGTATTCATTTCATGTCATATCACATTAACGTTCTCTTTATTAAGTTTGGTATCAATTCATTGATCGAACGTAAGAAGTAAACGATTTAGAGAAGTGGAAGAATTGATTCACAAAAAAAAATATGGAAAATCAAATCGTACAAGAAAATTTAGTTATGATGTAATGAAATGAAATAGAAAAGAATCACATTTCAAGATTCAACGTACCTAGCTACTGCTCTTCTATGGCAATGAACTTCTGGAATGATGACTCAATATTTCAGAAAAAACAGAGGAGATAGAAAAAGATATCAAAAAACAAAAAAAAGAGATGAGAAAGAATAGAAAATTTCAACTGCTCTCTACATTTTGTTTTATTTATTTTCGCGAAAACTTTTTCAACCTTCATTCAAATACGGTCCTAGATAAATATAGAAATGGACCATCGCCTCATTAACTGGTGAGCATAAATGTAGGATTTTTGTCGAAAAAATGGGTTTTTCATCTTGAGATTGAAATCGTCCTTTCGCCATACATAAGGTTTGTTCTGGTTCTAACATCCGGAACTGTTTGGAAACAGCGCAAGACAGGATGCGTACTAGTAAAAAATCTCAAACAGTCCGAAATAGTCTCGGACACTTGTTTGAACCAGAACGCTTATGAGCAGACCACTGTGCCACCTATCGTATATATGAAGATACATGAAGAGATGAAGACGAGAAAATACTATTGATCATGTCCATTTTGTTATCATATTGAAGAAAAGAGAATTGAAACAGAAGACTTTCAGGACAGTGATTAAAACCGATGAGTCACCAAGACAATTCCTAAAGGCAAAAACCCACCAAAAAATACCATGGTCACTGTATGGTGGTTGGAGGCTGATATGATTCACTATAACTTTATGCAACCAGGCCAAACCATTACAACAGAGTCCTACGGTGACTAAATCGACAAAATGTACCGAAAATTTTTATGCTGACAGAAGTTATCGACTTTGGTTACGTTGGCAAAAGAGCACTGATTCAAATAGTGCTTTGGACCAACCCAGTAGTTATTGAGATATTTCTAAAAATAAAAAGCTTTTTTTTGTTCGATTAAATTGTTACTATCTTTTGAACAATTTGTTAGACGATTTGTCTCAAAGTAAAGTACTTTGTGTGAAATTATGAATCATATGAAACCATAATCATACTTTGCTAAGAAGATGACTTGCAATTTGGTTGATGCGATAGCGGTCCAGTGAGTTGACGTAGAAGATGAAAGACTATTAATCAAATCTTCACCATTATAGGATTTCGAAAACGATAAGAGATAGAGAATCAAATAAATGGACTCATGTTCTTTCGGGTCAGATATTATTAGTCAAAAACAAGAACAATCACAAACAAATATTACGGATAATATATATTCTAATCATTTTCGAATTGAGCTCCTTGTCTTGTTATCTGGTGCGTTTTAGGAATGAACAATATGAACATCCTCCCACTTTTTTGTTTTGTACTGAAAGCAATTCTAGCATAGTCTGTTGAACCACATTTCGTATATAACGCAAGCGACTTATTCAGAAAGGGGCGATTGCCACCAAAATTAAAATCAGAATTTAACTTATGAGATTTGGTAGATAAAATTATTACAAATGACATATTGAAAAAATACCATTTGAACACTGAAAACATTGTTCAAATATAAGAAAACATGTTAGAATTTAAGAAGAAAAAAATGTGTGTTCTGTTTCCAACAGTTTGTAGATAGCCAAAAGCCAGGGTTTATCAGTGATTCAAACCAGTTTTTTTGTTTCATTTCACAGTCGGATCATTGCCTAATTTGGTAAAATTGGTGACGAGAATTTATTTTATCAACTTTCTTCACAACATTGTGTGGTTTTCTCGGGATATCATTGAACCAGAACTGTATGCTATAAATATTTTCACATTATTATTATTCCAAACTGATAGATACGATAAAATGGCCAATATGAATCATCAAACTATTCCTGCTTATCAATTCGCAGAAAGAAATAAACAAAACTCTTATCTCGTATGGAGCAGCTCTTTAAATGAATTTATTATTCAACATATTCAGGTATTGCTCCCTTCATTAATCTGAATATATATTGAGAATTGAAATTCTCAAGAAACAATAATATTTATTATCGTTTTACAGTTGTTTGAATTGTCGGAGCCATGGCCTCACCAGTGACAAAGCTAGCAAGAAGTAGACAGTTTCAGTTTGCTTTTCACCAGGCGTTGTCTGCATTGACATCATCCTGTATGAGTGTGATACATTCAGAAGTGCAGAAACTTTCGAGTAGAACTATGGCAACTCAACAAACGAAACAAGGTAAATAATTTTGACTAAAATATTCCATTTTATGTTTCATGACAATCAGCGAAAATTATTATACAATATTTCCGGTATTTCCTAAATATTTGGAGAATTATTGCTATCGGGCATTTTATACGCACCCACGATTCCTTTATTGACTTTTTTTTCAACTAAATAATAAATTAAAAAAAAATGCTGGAAATCTATTTTCGGAAGATTGTATGAAATGTATATTTGTTTTACTTTTTGCCCTATTGGTTTTCTTTTCTCAATCAATGTACTATGAAAATTCGAGTTTCTCCATCGGAATTTCATAAATGGTAAGAGAAGGACTGTTGAATTGAGATAAAGTTTAGAGTGAATCGTACAAAAAATCGATTTTGGTTTATGTTTTGATTCATGGAATTCACAGAAAAATTCTAAATTCGATATTCAGCTCTATTTTATTTATCACATAGATAATTTTTTTTTCGATTCACCACAAATACCGAAAAACTTTCAGAATATGTTCATAGAATTTTCAAAAGGTGACGATCGACTTAGATAACTCTCAGCTCGGGTTTGTATTTTTTGTTACAATTTTTTCATTAGCAAGTTTCAACACTTTTATGATCATCTGGTGAATTATTGGTTTACTTTACAATCTTTCAAGTTTCTAGGATTAAAACGAACCTTCCCCTCCCTATGTATCACGATTGGTTCACAAACAATTTTCCGACACTCTCAGAATTGAATTTAAATAAATAGCACAGCAAATAACTATAATTTGTTGATGTCAGAACTCTCAACTCCCAGTGAAGTTCTTTCCCACATCGTATAATCTGTAGAAGTTTCAGAAAAGTTTGAACTTTTATCTTTTGTCTCACCTCTCGTCATATAAGAAATAATTGGAAGAAGAGCAAAAGTGAGAAAAACAAAACCCTAAAAAGAAATTATGTATATGAAATATGTTCCATAAATGGGTTTTCAGAGAATATGGCCGACGAGAAACCCAAAGAGGAAGATCCATTTTCACGAAATATTTGCTTATAACACTAAACAAAGCAGAACAACAGTACCAGTACTTCAAATCTTGACCTTACCATTATGTACACCAAATAGGATTAGAAATGATTCATACTTTTCGTTATTGATTTGATTTATATACAGTGTGACCCATTTTTAATGGAAACTCCCCCCTGAAATTTGAATTTGTAAACCGATTTTAATAATTTTTATTTTGAAATGTCAAATACTGAAAGGTCTACCTTGGGACAAAATTTGAAATGTTTATTAAAGTTTCAGGGCATACTACGATATTTTTCCTTAGTCGAAAATCGGGATTTTTTGTTAGCGATTTTTTTATTGAAAAAATCACTACGCCACTGGATTCAGAGTGCCTCTAAACAGCTGTGACCAAAATTTCATGAAAAAATATTCATTATTAACAAAGTTATGACAACTCAAAAATTCGGAAACTCACACAGCTAACAGTCACAAAAAATACCCTATATTAACAGATATAGCCATGAGAATATTTTTTTTATGATTTCNNNTGTTTAGAGGCACTCTGAATCCAGTGGCGTAGTGATTTTTTCAATAAAAAAATCACTAATCAAAAATCCCGATTTTCGACTAAGAAAAAATATCGTAGTATGCCCTGAAACTTCAAAAAACATTTCAAATTTTGTCCCAAGGTAGACCTTTTAGTACTTGACATTTAAAAAAAAATTAACAAAATCGATTTACAACTTCAAATTTTAGGGTGGTGTTTCCATTAAAAATGGGTCACACTGTACATAGAAGTCATACCGTGATATTAGGTATCCACTTCTGATAGTTATTTTTATTGTGGTAAAATTCCCGAATAATGGGAAAGGCTTTGGCTTTCTACTTCTTCAACTTTATAAAAAGGATGTGGGGAACTTCCAAAAAAAAGGAGGAAAGCAAGTTATTTCAAAATAAACCCTTCAGATACAAACTGAAAGAAAAAGCCCCTTAGAAACAACTACTTTCATATGAACATTGAATTATACGGAAAAAACTACTTTCAAAAAAACTACCCATATGTGACCATTGAATTATACAAAATTTATCTTTTCCTGTTCATTTCCTATTCAGAAACGCTACACAATATAGTATCTATATGCAAAAGATCAACATGGAACACTGCCATAAGATATCATCCTGTGAATGTTATCTGATCAAATTCCATAACGAATGTTTGGAGTACCAACTGAATAGGAAAAAGTAATATTTTTATAATTCAGTGTTCATATGAAAGTAGTTGTTTCGAAAGTATTTCGTCTTTCGTGTAATTCAATGTTTATATGTTTCGGTCGGTAGCCAGGCGGTTTGACGTGAGTGCTTTGTTCACTCACTCGAATTGACTGCCGTGTTGGTCGGTGGTTCAAGCCCTAGTCTGAACGATCGATTTTCACTTGCTATCGTCCAACCCGCGTTAGGAATCATACGTTAAAAGGTAAGACCTCGTTAATCCTTAGCTCGCACAAGTTTAGACTTCTGAGGGTTGTTGTTCGTAGGGGTGTGGCAGCTGGTTGACGGAAAAAACAGATTTTAAAAACAGACATATTTTAGATTTTTTTAAGTAGATGTTTTTAGAGAGCTTTATCTTCCAGTTTGTATCCGAAATTAACTTCTATACGTAATCTATACAATAATTTTTTGTATAAAGATGAACAAGTAAAAAATCAAAACTCGTCTATTCCAAAAAATAATCTCTCCTAAAATGAATCCATTGACAGGATGAAGAAGTCAACGCCAGCTACTTTTTTCTTGAATATAGATTTTCATTTTTCATTATTGTAGATTAGGTAGTTTTTTTGTCTTCCTTGAGATCCCTATACTTGTTTTTAAACAACCCTAGAGCCGTAGGATACAAAATATGATGTTGTCATTAGACTTCTGGAGCAACCTCCAGACGCGACGTGAATCAACCCCACTGAATAAAGAGGTAGTTATGTGATCAACATATTTTAGGTACTTTAACTGTGATACGAATGTTATTTTTTAAGAATTAGTTGATACATAGCCAAGTATTAGTTCCATTCGAAATAATATCAGGGCCATAATAAAAAAACTAATCTGACCATAAAATTGCTGTAATTATCAAGAATAACGTGAAAAATTGAAATTCAACAAACATTTGCATTAAAGATCGATTAGATATTTGATGGATTATTCCATATTATTCGATAAAATTGTAGACGGATCAACTCAAAAAATTTAAATTTGAGATAATGAAATTAATGAATGAATACTTTATTTTGAAGTGAAATTGACAGATGGAACTGTCAAGATGGCGTCTGGGCGACATCTGGAAAAAAAAATTAAACTTCAAATTCTAGGGTTGTGAAGTATTCGTCAGGAGCTTCAAAATGATGTATCACAAGACCCCCCTTTTGATTCAATTTTCTTTTCATCTGTCAATTTTACTTCAAAATAAAGTATACATGCATTAATTTCATCATCTCAAATTTCAAAAAATTTCAAAGTTCAAAAAATAAAAGAGGGAGGACATTAAAGAAATGCACTGTATTAATACATATTGTGAATTACTCTACTAACTTTTTGTTCAACAAATAAATCTATGGCCTTGTCATGACTTAACTCGTGTGCAATTCGATTTTCTATCATTAAGATTGTGAGACTATGAGCGTTCTTGGCTCATAGAAGATAACAAATACTTTCTGATTAGTTTTAATTTGCCAGAACTTTGCTAATAACTTGCGAATGCAGTAGGAAGCATAGAGTAAATTCACAGGACAATACAAATATTAGGTAAATCATCCTGCACATCATGCGCATAAATCTGTTGCAAGAGATAGAACCCGTTATCCTTTTCTATATCACCAAATAAAAGTGGAGCTGGCTCTTTGAAAACTAACAGTTCCTAGCAGAATTCAACGGTGCTCAAACCCGCTCGTATTTTCGAGCCAGATCTACTTCATACTTTCGCATTTTCCAATTGACATTTTCAAAATATCAGTACCATTAAGAAAATCAAAATACAAAGTCAGCATGGTATAGCACATTCAAACCTCTTTTTAATTTCTGATATGATTCTATCAAACACCATCATTATTTCTTAAGAAAATGGTTGAACATGTTGGAGTGTCAGTAATTCGTCTTCACACATCTCATCGAAATGTTTTTTACGTTTTGGAAGTTCTGAGCAGACCAGCAGACCATCCATTAGTGTAACTATATTTTAAAATATTCATAATACTTAAGAGATGACCTGCCTCGTTATAAGGCTTTCGCTACTTCTGGCAATTTCTTTCCTCAAGGACAGATCACAAGCACTACAGGAAAAACCTTAAGGCGTTCTAAGAGCGGTGCCTATGCGAAAGTAGTGATTCACATTGAATTTGAATCGCTGGAGATTATTATTATTTGGGAAAACGTTCTCAGGAAGTTTATTCCACATAACCGCAGTTCTCCTAATGAAAGATTTCTTAAACAGTGGAGTTCGAGGTGTAATAACACGATGAGCAGCCACCGTCGGTCGCGTATTTCTGATATGTATCGCTCTCAGTGGAATCAAATGTACCAAGTCACTTGAATACCTCCAGTGAAAGTATGTATAGAAGAGAGACAAATCTCCAACCTTTCTTCGATGTTCCAGACTATCAATGTTGCAAGAGATGTTCGTATCCATCAGGCGGATGGCTCTTTTCCAGCAGCTTCAGGGTATACTTAGGGGCGGAGCTCCATACATGAGAAAAATATACCAAAGAAGTTCTGATTTGAGTTTTATAAAGCATCAATTGAACCTGGTTACTTTCACCCCAAATCCAAATTACTTCTAGATATGCAATCGGCTACTAATGCAAGATATGCATTAGTAGCCGATGTCCTGGAATCCAAATGAAATGACGAGACAAGTGTATTGTCGTCAGCAAAGCAATATATTGGATTCTTGATTTTTTCTAATAAGTCGTTGATATACGATATAAAGAGGGTTGGAGACAATAAGGATCCCTGAGGAACACCAGCGTCGATGATATTCATCGACGGCCTCTTGCAGGGATCGTTCTCTCAGGAAGCTGGAGAGCCATACACAAAAATGATTCGACAGCCTTACCATCGACGTTTGGTCAGCAAACCCTCATGCTACACGGTCAAAGGCCAATATCTGAATCATCAACTGCCATTTTTTTTAATGTTTTGACAAATTTTCTACACAGTTTTTCCAGCAACTTTTATGAAATCAATGAAGCTTTTTTATTTCACACACATTGCCACACATTAAATTACCTGACTCATTTGTTCAGCATGGGACACATCTGGAGTGCAGTCGATCATTTGGATAGATACAATACAGCATCCATAACACAACGCCTCACAGGGCATAAGCCCCAGCTTGTCCCCCCCTAGATACGGGCCTGCACTCACGTTACACCTGAGTGATTTCTGCGAATTGACCTTATTTGTTTTCATTATTTGCCATGTTTCATTATCCAGGAGTTCACTTAACTCACTATATGGTAGTATTTTTGTCATTTGTTATTTCTGTAATGTAAACAAGATAAGAGATGCCAACGTTTTGTTGAAAGGGGATTCAGTGTCAGTCAAATATTTATTCTGACAGTCGTACTTAGCGACTTCATTATCAGGATTTGGAAAAAATGAAACAAACGTGCATATTTGCTCATTATGCAAGAAACGAAAACAAAATTAATGTATATTTAATAAATTATAATAAAGAAGTATTGGTTATTAGATAAAAAATTATGAAGGTTGACGTTTTGTGCGCATGTATATCTATGTAGATGTAGACTATATCTCGTAGTCGACTATATAAACATTTTTTCTCAAGTGAATCATCTACTGAATTTGTAGTGGAACTCAGTTACAATAATTGTTTTGTAATTATGTTCATTATATCGCTGTGAAATGATCATAAAAATATACAGACATTTGTTCGTTGCTTGAGAAATGTTGCTAAGGTTTGATTTTCTAATGAATCCATTTCTCAAAAAACCTTGCATCTCATAATGTTTACACAGATTCAAGTACCACTTTATCGTTCACAAAACTGCAACACGTGTTTCACTATAGCTTTCTCAGGCGTGTTCATACTGACTGAGTTTTACCTAATTACTGCTTCATATAATATAGGTGGTAGAATACCTTCCTTCTCCCTACTCAATGACTAACAATTTCACCTGAGTTCAGGTATAAACTAAGTGAAAATTTAAACATCATCCAAGAAAACTAATTAGTTTTTTTCACTTCCTGAAAATGCCATATTGGTTTGTGAAACGCGCATCTGAAAGAGTATTGAAGTTCTGGCGATTGGGAAAATGCTTGAGGATCCACTTTTACCTCTAATTGTAAGATAATTCACGAATTCATTGAATACACATGTAATGAATTAATCACCAATTTCTACATTGAAAAACAGATGCAATAGTAATTTAGTACATTTTCAGAATTCCCAACTATATTAATTTCCTAGCATTCCGAAAGATTGAATTTCAAATCTTTCTATTTCAAATGTCACACTCGTGGTTGGAAGAAGGTTCTACCCGTTTGGGCAGTATGAAGTTTTGGGGAGGAACTACAAATCATCTTATATATTTCTGATCTATCCGACACTGGAGAGTTGTATTCATTGTTTTTATACAATGGAAATTCAGATACCAAAGTATAACGCTTATTATCGTTTCTTGAATTGGGATAGATCTGGTAAATGGCTGTAAATCAAATAATCTAAAAGAACAATTCGTTCACGCCAGTCTCGAATCACCTACACTATAGGTGACTAACACCTATCAGAAAACAACTACTCCCCTGACTAATACCACGAAGGGCGTTGGGTTATATCGGACAAGTGTCAGTGCAGGATTCTTCACTGAAGTTATTTCTGCATATGCTGTTGGCGATACAACTGCCAAAATCGATTTTCAATTATTGGAACACACTTGCAGACCGGTTTCGAACTGTTTCGCCACACGTCAGTGCAAGGTAATATCTATCATCAACACGAAGTCAATAATTTTCCATAATTGAGAATCAAATTCTTTTCAGAGTACCATTCTTTGAACTAGGCAAAAGCAAACGACAAATAACATGATTATCATCGTCCCATATGCCTGTGAACAAGGTAACCAACCACTTATCCGATTTTGCCCAATTCCTCGTGGTATTAGCCAGGGTACTAGTTGTTTTTTGATAGGTGTCAGTTCATTAACCCACAGTGTAGGTAATTTGAGACTGGCCTCAACGAATTGTTCTATTAGATAATTTGATAAAAACTCAGTTCTCTCTTAAGTTCACTGTCAAGTTTAGACTGGACTATTGATAAAATTAATACTGAATATGATTTTTCAATTCACCTCAAACCACCAAAAAATGAAAACAAGCCATTTACAAACCCTTATTAAGAACATCACCGACATTTTAGAACCCACCTATTTTTTCACTGGAAGCGAAGGTGACAATCACCCCTAAATTATCTTCATTATTATTTCTCTTCTTAGTGGTTTTGTAAAGAATCACATTGACAAATTTGAATTCACTGGGTCCTTATTCATTACGTAATTGGCCAAATATACGAATTGCTGACCACCGGCATCCATACAAGAATAAAGACATTCAAACTTCGCGGTTCCAACCGTTGCAAGATCATTTATGTTGATGGCGAATACCCGCACCGAATCTACCGTGCGTAGTAGTTACTCGGTTTTAACCTACGTACCCACTAACTTACAGTTCTACATGTATTTGGTGTCGGACTTACCATTTGTATCTATATTTTTTAGTGGTTACATCATAATAAAAGCTGATGATGTTTTTGAATATGGTTGACAATGTTTCTTGGCGAATATTACAGGTTCAGTTATTACCTGAAGACAATTGTGGATAACACTTAAAATAAAGAATGTTATTGGAAATACCTTTTCTTTTTTTATTTATTTCTTTCATTTTTTCATTATTTATCTTTATTATTTTATTTTCATCAATACTGTTTGCATTTTATTGCAATTTATTGTTTTAACAATTCTTTTTCATTTGACGTCACAATCATTGTTTTCTTCACCAGTTGGTATTCACATTCCATTCATTTTTTTCTCGATATTTATGTTTTTAAATTATCTTTGTCAATTCACTTTTCCAAATATTTAGGTTCTGATGTTTTTTTCATTTTTGATATGTCATTAAGTATTCATTCAAAACATACTAAAACAGTTTACAGTGAGATTTTCAATATAACGCTTAAAACTGTTGTAGATAAATTGTGATTGAATTTGTCAATGATTATTTGGAATAAAAAAAAATCAATATCTTGAAACTATGGATTTCCCAACATTTTACAAATGGTTTTAACTGCAATTTATTTTTCAGGTGATGATCCAATTGTATGTCTGGATGAAGCTCGTCGCTTCATGGTGGATTGTTTCAAAGCTGTTGGGTGTAATCAAAATCATGCTGAAATAGTGGCGGAAAATTTATTAGCTGCCGATTACAGAGGACATTACAGCCATGGAATGAATAGATTAGGTAATGAACATACACAAATCCAGCAAGAATAACGTCAAACTGAAAACTTTCCTTCTCAAAACAAAATATAAAGTGAACGACCGAATACGTTGAAAAATGACATTGGTGCAACATCCAGTTTTATACTTTATAAGTAGAATTACCAACTAACTCATCTCATGAAACTTGAATACTGTCAAAATATGAAGTCATATTAGTTCGATAAGTACCCTTATTCTCCCTGTAGATACCATTAACGATATCATTATTTATATTTGTTTGTTCAATTTCAAGAGTTCACCAAAACCCATTAGAATATTAGAGATTCGTGGTCAATGAATTATTCCATTATGTTGATGCTCCGTTTCAGTATACATATAATGAATGGCCTGAATATTTTTTCAAACTATTTACAAACTATGCCCTCAAATGTACTTACTGCTTTGTACATACAATATTGTGTAAAATGTCAGTACTGTGCGTGAATCGAATGTGAACGTATAAAATAAAATAAGTGAAAAAAATTATGTTAAACGGTTTCACTGAAATAATAATAATAATTCAGATAATGTACTAAAAACTAAAAAATAATATAATTTGGAAGGTCCTCGGTAGCAGTCATCATATCACTCTCCTCAGCCATATACGGTATTGATCAGATGAAAAAATAATAAAATCGTTGGACGAAGCGTAACCTGAGTAAATATGTTGAATACATACGCCCGACATTTCTTTACTTATTTTATTTTCAAGTTTTCGGTTTCTTATTTTCAAAGTGTACTTATCCTACTAGTCCAGCCCTGTCATTTGATATCCATGGTGTGGGGTGAAGGAAACTAAAACCCCCCAAAAGCAAAAGGAATCGTGCCGACAGCTGAGTGGCCGCAGGGTGATATGCGGTCAAGAACGATTCCCTTGGGGAACTGGGGGAAACCTCATTGTAATCAGCCTACCTGATTGCGGGGCTCTGCCAGAAGTGACCAACTCTTCCTTTGCTACTCGTGGAACACATGAACATGAAACAACATAAAAACAGAAACAACAAAAACCAATCCTGATGCTGGACAGAAGTGCTCACCTCAATCTTAGGCGGTGACTGGGGATGAACAGAAATGTCCACCCCAATCTACCGCTTGGAATGAGGCTGGACATAGCAGATCACCTCCAAAGCAAGGACACTTCCTGTGGCGGGCGCCAAGAGCTCCGCCTTGAATAAAAGCTAGGAACCGGCTGCCCCTGCAGGAAAGCACCTCCACGGAGGGAACCCCAAGAAGGTTGAAGAAGCCGCGGAATGACAGTAATATCGCTACACCTTTCAAAACCTTCGCCGAAGCCACCGTAAGACACCTCAAGGTTGCCAAAGAAAGTATGTGTTTCAGCGAGTCTTGGCCTACACCTGCCAATATAAATGAGATGTCTCCTAGTGACCTGTTCACCTTCCTGGAAAGGACAGGATAGATGATGACCTAGGAGGACAACTCTTCGGGATGATATACAATGAGTCACATGTGGCCTAAGTGTTGTGTGTCTACACTCACCCTCCCTACTCTACAGATACCAGAGATGAAGTAGATGTGAAAAAATATGTATTTTTTATATGCGGCCATCTTGAATTTGCAACACTCTTACGGTATTGACGAGACACAGGTAGGTGTTGCCCTACGCTCTGGGGGATAATGAATCCGTTGTGGGGAACGAGAAGTGCCAAATTTATTGAAACTATTCGTTCCCCACCCTCAGGCTCATACAAGCTAATAAGCCTGATGTAGTCCTTCTCGACCACCAGAGCAAAACGTGGAGTTTTTACTCAGAACACATGATTCTCGGACCTAATGATGACTTATCTCACGGTGTGGGGAGTGGTCACTGGTTGATAATGCTGGCGCGCCCTACCGAATGTATCTGGACTTCGGGAGATAGGGCCTGACCAGCGCACACTACGGTGAAAAATAATAATAATAATATACTTTATTGTCATTAAGAATGAATCTTGTGGACAAAGCTTGTGAAAAATGAATTCAAATGTAAATATAGAAATATAGAATGTGAATATAAAAACACCTTCAAAAAAGTAAAGTTAGAACATACACCTGACGTCAAAATTTCAACATGGTTGTGTACAAACTTGTTTGAAAGTATTATCAACATTTATATAATAGACATATGAACATATATACTTGTATATAACTTTATATTAATACACACTCATTGCACCAACAATCAAACAAGAATGTAAACAAAAATCTTATATAACCTAAATTCAAATATGCACATTTTGTCACGTAAATTTATCATTATAGAACTCTTGCAAATTATAATAGGGTCTATCAGCCAAACATATTTTTACTCTTAATCTAAACATTTTGTTGGTCAAATTTGCCTGTTTTATATCTGAGGGCAAGTGATTAAACATCTTGACCCCATTGTAATAAATAGAATTCTCGACCAAATTTGTTAAAGGAATTGGCAATTTCAACGCGGTAAATTAAACAATTCCAAATTTTACTGAAACATTTTTGTTCGTTTTGAAGAGTTGTTCTACGGAAACATTATGATTCTGAATATTTTATAGGTTTTTGTGTGGAGGGTCGAGTGTTTAGAAAATATCCAATTTTTGCTTCCGGCTTATTCAATACTATACAAGAAAACTCATGAATAAATTGACAAATATCGACAGAAAATATCATAGACAAGTATTTCTTCCAGACACGAACACTTAAGATGATGGTCTTGTCATTACTCCTCATACTTGTTCGAATACCATTTTACATGGGCACAGCTTGTCACATGTAGGGAGATCTTTCTGAATTCCGTTATAGTCCCGCCCACTAAATGTGCGTTTGTTAGAAGACTATGAGAGCGAGAGACAGAGAGAGAGAGAGAGAGAGAGAGAGAGAGAGAGAGAGAGAGACTTCTCAAATCTTTTTCTTTATTTAACAAGCTGTATCGCTTTTGATTTCTTAATTTGTACACCAAGTATTCATAATAGACACTGAAATAGATTTCCTCTTTTCCTCGCGTTGGAAAATTTGAAAAACAATTCACCCAATTTTTCTTGCCTTTCAAACTTACTGTTTTGTTAGTTTCATTTAATAATTTCATATGAAAGATATTCAGATACACAACCATGGATCCTAAAAAACAGAAATCAATAGTCGACACCATCATGGGACAACTAAAAATATCAGAATGTATGTCAGAATAGTTATTTGTGATATGAGTGTTAAAAGTAGCTTTTTATTTTGTGAGTGAAAAAGTTTGCGAAACGATCGTAGCGAGTTGAGCAATTCCACGAATAAACACAAACACGAAATTTTAATATATTAGATAACATTGATCTATTTTCCTAAACATAATCTAAATTTATTGGTTCCTTGATGACTTATTTGAACTAAGTCGATTCAAAATTCCAGCTGATGCTTCTATTCAAAAAAAGAAAACAGGAGTATTTTTCACATTGATGACCTTGTCAAAAATTGACATTCACGAAATACACATTTGAGATAAATTATGTCGAAAATAATTACAAATGAGACAATAGAAGAGTTAAAACCTCTCAAGGTCATAATTCATGGACCACCAGCTTCTGGAAAGACAAAACTTGCTGAAAGACTATGCCAGCATTATGGGGCTCATTACATATCTGTCAAAACTATGATAGAAGAAACTCTGGAAGAACTTCATCAGAATATCGAAAGAGAAAACGAAAAAATTCGGCTGAAAGCTAAGAAAGTTGCCAAGGAAAAGAAAGATGAAGACGAAGAAGATGAAGACGACGAAGAAGACGAAGAAATTGAGGAGGAAGATGAAGTGAATGTAGATGTTGAAGACTGGCAGGAACAGATTAAGGATATAATGACGCTGATAGACAAAAGTGAAAATAAGCGTCTCCCAGATGAGTATGTTGTGCGGTTGATGAAATCATTTTTGGCCAAAGAGTTGTGTCAAACTCGCGGATATGTTTTAGATGGATTTCCGAAAACTATCGAACAGGCAAAGGAGATATTCGGGCAGGCCGCCGAAGGAGGAAATCAAGAAGAAGGGGGTAAAATTGGTGTAGAAGTTCCGGGAGAAGGTGGTGCAGGTGAGGATGGAACCGAAGCCAAACAAGTAGGTTCGCTGATAGGTAATGCTAGCGATAAAATTATTCCTGATTATGTCATCAGTTTAGAGGCGACAGATGAATTCCTTTGTGAAAGGGTTATGAAACTTCCTCAAAGACTAATACAGGGTACCCACTACGATGAGGTGAACATGCTGAGAAGATTGGCGGAATTTCGAGAAAACAACAATGAAGAAAAAAGTGTTCTTAACTTCTTCGACGAAGTTGGAATTCATCCATACCTAGTGAGTTTGGTTGATGAAGAGACACAAGAAGAAAGAGATCTGGATTGTATATTTGATTTTGTTTGTGGCATTTTTGGTAAACCAATACCTGGATTTGGGTTAACTGCGGAAGAGGAGGATACAATTAGAAAATTGGAGATGGAACAAAGACGGCTACTAGAGGAAGAGGGTCGAATTGAGAAGAGATTATTGGAAGAAAAGGCGGAAAAAGAACACCAAGAAAAAATGGAAAAATGGACAGAAACATTCGAAATGCTTCAAAAAGAAGAAGAGAAAATATTAATTGCTCAAAGTGAACCACAACGTTCCTATTTGATGAAATATATATTTCCTACACTATCTAAAGGTTTGATCGAGGTTGCTAAAATGAAACCTGAGGATCCTGTTGACTTTCTTGCGGAATTTTTGTTCAGGGAAAATCCAGAAGGAAAAATGTTCGATCCCTCATATACACGTAAAGGAGAGAAGATTTTGAAACAGTGTGAAGAAATTCAACCAACTCTAGAACAAGCTAGAAGTTCCATGTAAAATTTAGTGTTTGTTTTCATTATAACAATATGATAATACTATTTATTCTTTGATATAATTTTGAAATAGTTATCGAAATTTTTAGAAGGTTCACACTCAAAAATACTGTAAACTAATAATGAATAGTCCTAATGCGAATTGTATAAATGCAGTGGATTCTTGAAATGAAATCAATACGTATGTTCTGACGCCATCAAAAACTAAGGATGAGAAAGAAGTGAGAGTTCTTTTGAAGTATCCATTGAGGGAGAAGGAATAGTAATCAATTAAGAAATCTTCATCTTAATTTTTGTAATGACGTCCCTTTCAATGAAAAGTGTTGTTTCCATCTCGAAATAATTGTAATGACTTTCATCAGTTCGGACTTTCATTGATTTTCAGGTGTTTCAAATCAATTTATATTATATTAGACAATGGAAGTTCGAACTGATGAAATACATCACGAAACATTGTCAACCACCTTCAAACAATTGTAATGACTATTACTGACCATTCTTTTTTATGCTATAATTGAAGAAAAACCCTAGTGAGTTTGGAATCTTTTATTCTTCATAGTCCAACTCATTTTTTTCCTCCAGCGATATGCATTTGAATTCAATAGATTCAATAATTAGATTGTACCAGATAATAAACGTCCATGTCACAGTTCTCAAAAGTGTAGATCAAAAACGTTCACCCAAATGGTAGTCTGAAAAATACTGACAAAAATTCAACATGACTTAAAACATGACTAAAATAAAAAAGATTTCTTTTTTCGAGTTTTTCGAAGATGTTTTTCTAGATGAGAAAATGTTATCTAATTTTTCGTTATTTATTTCTTCATGTGAATTAGGTCTCAATGGACAAAAATCTAGGTCAAATGAACTGGGAGACTGTTCTGCTAGTCCTTTTCTTCCAATTTATTCATTGGAATAGTGTGAGTGATTCAACTATTGGAGAAATTTTTCAATTCGGGTCTAACTGGATTATTTCTGCAACTATGAGAGCTTGTATTGTTTTCCTTGATAATTAATTCATCAAAGATTTGTCCTTTCAAATTTTCATCCAATAATATCGAACCAATTATAGGATTCACCAAAATACTGACCATGACATTCACCTTTTTAGAATTCTAAATATGCTTTTTCCTGATTTCATTCATTTCACGATTCATAAATGAAAAATATATGGCATTTCAACAAATCAAATATTCTTTAGAAAAATAATTTTAGGATAATTTGGCTGAAACTTTGGTTAATTGTATTTATAAACATAAGCATCACATGTATGAATACAACTGAAAATTAATTATTATACACAGCAAAGGAATTAATTATGAAACAAATTCTTTATTCAACAAATTACTATCGTTTATTGTTCCTTTCAAAGTTTGGCGCTCGTCTCTTATGAGAATTTTTATACGAAACAAATGCGAAATTTGACTTCTTGAGGATATCGCCAAAGCTCTTATCTTTCCGATTACACTAGTTTGTATACTTTTTTTTGTCAAAGAAGAGGACATTTTCAAAAGATTACGGTCGTTTCGTAGTGGTGTATTTTTACCACCTGAAACGTCTCCTTCATTCGCTCCACACCTTTTATTGGAACTGCTTGTGCATTACTTCATTGGAAGATGTTGTCGTTTTCAGTTAATCCCACATTTCTTTCATCATCTTCATATTTGACAATAGTCCTAATCGCCTTATAGGCGATTTTCCATTTTTTCTCACCTGAAATGAGGTTTCTCATGATAACTTCAGCCCCAAAATTCTCCATTGTTGCCTCTGCTTATTTCTGACTGATACGTTTCCATCTAAGACAGTAGATGCATATGTTTCGCATCATCTTGTTGATCCCAATATTAACAATTTTCAAACTCTTTCTTTCCTCTATCGTAGGCATTTATCTGAAGCATCCGTGTCCGGAAATTGCCTGGGTGGAATAGTAGTCCACTTTTTGTAACGGCTTATTGACTACTGATGAATATTTGGGATTCACTGATATGTCCATATTCCAAATTTTCCACTGTCCCATTTGTTTTGACATCTTGTCATCAATCTTTTCTTGACTACTGTTTTTCTTCTCCCTTGTACTTTTCCTTCTTTTCCTGAATCAGGAATTCAATGTAAGGAACACCGAATATCACCTCCGCTGCTTCAGCTGAGACAGTTAGTTCTGTATGCACAACAAATTCTAAGAGCCGTCATTCCCTGAAGACTTGTGAGTCTTGACAAATTACTTTTGATTTTCGATAACCGACCACCGATGATTGTACAAAATCTTGGAGAGGGCTACAACTAAGGAGTATTATTTTTGAGAACGAGGTCTACCGATATCTGGCCAAACTCCAAAGTATTTAATACTATTTTTAGGTGTTATTGTCACACTTTGAACTTTGAAGTGTGCAGAATCCATTTCCTTTTTTTGTCAGGAGAACTCCAACTAGTTGGTAACACACAGAAGTGCAGTATTTGCTGAATCATCAATGCCCTCTTCTTCTTTGGCAGCCACTACTCAAGCGATATCATTGCAAAAACTGATCAGTGTAACTCCCTTTGGTTGCTCCAGTCTAAGGAGTCAGTACATAGAGTACATTCCAAGATATGGAGCCAAGGACTGATCCTTGCGGAACTCCTCGGTGATAGCCCACCCGATCGTATCAACTCATTCTTCAATCCTATTAGTATTAGTTGTTTATAGAGTTTTCCTTCCGAATCTAACAGACATATGAGTTTAATAATTGCGGAATTTTGGACTGATTTCTCCGGTTCCTTCAGAAGCAGCAATTTTGCCCGTATCCATGTTTTTGTATATCATTGCGAGATGATTGTAAAGAGCCAAAGTGTATTCAGTGTCATTTAGGGACAGATCTTTGATCACTTCCGGTGAAATATTTCCGGGACCATGAGCTTTATTTGATTTTCCTTTATCACAAGCCGAACGTATTTAATCTATATTGGAATTGAACATATCACAGTTGAATATTACGTTTCGGTGGAGTTCGTATACCTTATACTTGATATTTTATGTAGCTACCTAGATCATAGAATGAAATGGATGAAAAAAACCAATAATGTAGTAAAAAGCAAATTATTGTCAAATAAATATCAGTTAAAATATCAACACAAGAAGTTGTGTGAAATAGTCACCACATATTCTAAATGAAAAAGGTTTTGAAAGTAAACTATGGCTGTTTTAAGTGAAACCCAACGCATAGAAATTTTAATTGAAACCAGAGATATGGAGTTTGTTCAATGCAAAATATCCAAATTCAAGTCGTTCAACAGTTAGTGAGATTCAGAAAAAAATTACAGAAATGGTCATGTCGAACATATTCCGAACTTTGAACGCACTAAAATAGAATAAAGCTTAGAATTTTATGTCTTTTCAATTGAAGAAAATAATCCCTTCAAATTGCAGAAGACAATGACATATCTCAACACGTATTCTGAAAGCAGAAAAGTTCATCAGTAAAAAGTACTGCTACATCAACAACTCTTTGAAGATGATCCTAATCGCCGTATCGAGTTCGGTGGAATTATGCAGTTTTTGTAACCGAAATCCACGTTTTATTGAACAGATTATGTTTTTCGATGCGGTTACGTTTTGCCTTAATGGTTCAGTGAATCATAAAAATTGCAGATATTAGAGTAGGGATAAACTTCACTGGATGATTAACGACTATACTTAACACCCTTGGAAAGTTGATGATTGGACAAGGATAACGATATGGTTATTGGACCTTATTTTTTTTAAACTCTCACGTAGGAGCGTTAATTAGACTTATTAAGAAACGAACTAATACCTGTTCTGGTTCCGACACGATGGTGAGTGAAACCCCGCACAATGCGCATTATCTGCGCGAGTTTTTGAATGACTGTGTATTAGTAGATGCGAACCGATAGACTGGGCCGCTGAATTTTTTGTAAGGTTATTTGAAATCGATAATCTATGTAGATAGACAGGGAAATTTACAGGAATTGTAAAATCGAATCAGAGTCGAAATTAACAGAATTACTTTAGCATTCATTATCAATGTGCAAGAGGAATGGTTCGATGACTTGCTTATCGTCAAGATTAGAACACACCCCTTCCTCTCACTTGAAAAGTATGTGCGATGGAAACAGGGCCGGCCTTAGGAAGGGGCGAGCAGGGAAACCTCACAGTTCAGAGGCCCTGCCCTGCAATATTTCATTTTCTTGATTATTGTGGATTTTATCCGTTCTTGCTCTCTTCTTCGTATTTATATTTAGAAGACATTAACGTACACCTCAGTGTCATCGAACAAAGGAAAGTTCAATAAAGCGCAGGTAGCGCAGCGACATATTTCTGAATCAATCTCAATCTAAATTTTGAAGAATCAGATTCTACATCTACCTACTAGAATATATTGCAGTTTCGTTTATTAACTATTATGAATGTTTTTTGTTTCAGACTCCAATCACTTCGGCATAGCGGGGATCTACAGTCTTCAAGCTATTGAAAGGGGTTTTTTAGGAATGAGTTTTACTAACACGTCACCCTTCATGGTGCCAACTAGATCAAAAGAGGTGAGAGTTTTGAAGATTATTAACTATTCCTAATACATATAGCGTGTATCATATTAGATGTTACAAGAGGTATGATGGTCTTAAAATTTTTGAATTTCATTTTAAGATAGTGAGATTGACCTCTTTTTGTAAGAAACTGATTTCAAGAATGTTTTCAGTTTTTGAAAAACAAGTTGGTCTTGACTGTAAAACGAACACTATTTTTTTAGGTAATGTATCAGCTTTGTTCATGGTATGTACTGAATGGTCCTGCTTACAATAAGAAATTATGATTCCATGAAAAAAGTTAATGTTTAAACTACATTAAATTTTCAAGATTGAACGAAATAAATAGTGATTAATACTAGAGTTTTTTCCCGAGACCAAACCGTTATTTTAACACCTCGACACGCGTTTCGAGAGGAAGATCAAACTAATCATACTTACAAAGCTAACCTTATTTATGCCATAGATACCTGCTCTAGGTACCTGCGTCTTGAGTGTCCTAAATTAATTTTACAATTTGCCTTATCTACTTGTCTTAAATTTAATTTTACAATGTGTCCTTATGTAATAGTCAGGTAAATCTAATAATTGAAATGTAAGCTATATGAAATTAATTTCACATATTGCCTAAAATTTATTTTACAAAATAAAATATTATTTTAACAAGCTATATAGTATGCTATTAGGTATTGGTCCACCATCGTTATTCATAATATTATTATGTTTACTTATTTCTACACTCTCATATGCATCGATATGCCTGTTGTTGTTAACTTGTCTAACTAATCTTAATGAACTGAAGTCTATGGAATGGTTTTGTTGCAAAATATGATGGGCGACTGCTGAAAGCAACCTTCTACCTGGAACCGGTTTTGTTTCATACAAATTAGTGAGAGAAACCAATTCGTCAATTTCGTCATTATTAAAATTATTTCTACATGTGTGTGTATGTTTGTTTGTTTGTCAGTTCGCTTGTAACTCTCAAGCTCGAGATCTATATTTGACAGAATTATCGACAGTAATGCATAATTTATTCGCGTTCAGGTGGCGCTGTACGTAATCTCCTTGATATATAAATATTATTGCTTGATCTATTCGCGAGCAGATGGCACTGTACGTATCCTCCTTGATATATCGACATTATTGCTTGATCTATTCGCAGTCAGATGGCACTGTACGTAATCAAAAATATCAATGGTCATTTTTCTAAACAATATACGGCTGATTGATCCCAAAGTTTAGATGAAATAAATATAGTTTAAAAATACTAAAAAACACGCTTTTAAAGAACATCGAACTAAAAAGTTAAAAATTATTTTTTTAAATAAGCAATCAGGTTGAGTTCAGTAAGCATGAGAGGGAAAGTAGTAGGGATAAAAATAATAGAGAGAAGCAATAATAGATGTCATAATTGCCTGGATATATAGCGGTGATTTGGCGCGATGGTAATGCGTCCGATTCACCACTGGAAGGTGATGATTTCGATCCCAATCTCGAGCAGATATTTTTCTCGAGTGAATGTATCTAGTTGAAGTTGGATTGATTCTGCAACGTAACATGGCTGACGGACTGCGAATAGTCATGATGCTCCCTAGGTGGCTCTGGGAGTTATTAACATTGCCTACCCAGAACACGAGGCTAATGACCAATGTATTCGATGCCGATGATACCAGGAAAAAAATTGTCAAGATACAGGGCATTCAGAAAGGCAAAGTAGTATGTAGTATATTATAAATGCTTCAAGCTTGAAAATATCAAATGCAATTGAACAGATGCGCGCAATTCCCACACTTTTGTGCGATTAATAGGTACAGTAAAAGTCAACAATACTTCCGATCCGGGAAGCGCAGGGCAGTTTGTACAATTATCAGTAAAGCAGCACAGTGAGGATACATTCCCCAACCAGGAGAAATAAAGTTGTCCGTTTTGAAGGGGCATAGGTTGAGAGTCTTGGAACAGTCACAACCAGAATTGAGTGGGGAGATGTTTCTTTTTTCGACAAGATGTTCTTTTGTTTGGTACCAGGTGAAGCTCAATCCGTTGATGTTATTCTGGGTTGAACTTCAAATGAGAGAATCTCCGTCATTTCTCCAGAGAGGGTTGTCGTTCAACCAAACACAGACATGCTCATTGAGAATCCATATAAATTGAGACCTGCCACAATAGAGAAACGCCAGAAGTTGGGAAAAATATCTTCAGCACAACTAGCGCTAGTCATGAACCAATCTCAAATCTTTACTGAAAGAGAGAATTCCCAAAAGAACAACAAGACTCATTCAATTCTTTGGTGTACCATATGTATCAACAAATAACTGTTCACCTATCATTACAATGATCAAAATAACAAACAACATAGTAAGGGTGGTAGTCGTCAAAGCGGAAATGAATATATTGACTTAATATTTGAATAAATTATAAGTGAATTCAAATTCAATGTAAACAAATATAGTACAAATTAGAGTAACTGTGTTATTTGTAGTTCCGGTCAGAGGTTGTACGAGTTTTTCGGGTCCTTTTATCAGCAGTTCTTGTAGAAGAGGGCGCAACCTCGCTTCTGTTGTGACTCACTTACACTTGCAAGAGTTCCGGGTTAGACTGGATATCAGCCAGAGTGTGGAAGGTGTCGTTGATAATCAGGTGGTTATTCTTGATAGTTGCTTTGACTCCGTTAAGTTTAGCAGTATTGAGGTAAGTCCTTAGGGATTTATGGATACTCTGGTCGGCTGGACATAAATCGTTGACCACAAAGATGTTCTTATTTTTTAATTTGTGCAAGTTTTTTGTAATTTCCAATTTTTTAAATAAGAGACCAGTTCGATTTTCAGAGTCCGCTTTTTGTTCTTATTCTCGAATGAGTATATATTATTAACATCAGCAAATCCGATAGGTACTTCAAGAAGATGACTTAGGACAGAAAGGGCTTCACCATTGTCTTCTTTTTCGATACCAAAAACCAACAAATTATTCCGCCGAAGTTTGCGATCCTGCAACTGTACGACTTTTTTCAAAGTATCATTCTCTTCTTCGAGTAGTAATATTTTATCGTTGACACCTAGTAATTCGGATTTGATCTCGGCAAGCGTAATTTGTGATTTATCAAATTTCTCGTCTAGATTCTTCAATAGATTGTAAATTGCAGTCAAGGAAAGTTCAGAAGTGTTGGTCATTGTTTACACCAGTTTTTGTTCTAGCCCCAGTGCTAATACAAGCCTTAGCTTATCAGAAGTGATCGTTTATTTGCCGTTTCTTGTTAAAAGTTTTTTTTTTGTTGAAGATTGGTGTGAGATTTCAATATAGGAAGTAATCGTTATATTAGCACTTATTCAGCGTCTAGATAAGAAAGTTGCTCACCCCGATAAGGCAGGATGCACTAATTTCCAGGTACAGATTGATGAAAATTACAAGATTTTGGGTTCACAAACAACAGTAGAATTCAGTATTTTCTAGAGCGGTTCACACAGACGTTGTTCACTCGACTCGACACTTTTTTTTTGTTTTGTAATTCCGAAGGACAGCTATAGACTAGTGAATTATATTGAGCATTATTTTGTAGCAACATGGTGCAGACTAGAGAATGGATACTGAAATCCAAACATTTTGGTTCTCCATCAGCGGCAGAGGTATTGTTGATGTTGTTATGAAGTTCACCACAAAACGAGGGAAACGAGCACCTTTTCGTTATTTGACACTTGCAATCTATGGAAATTGATGTAGATCTGTTCATGGTGCCGAACCACTCTGAATTGATTTTTTCTCTTCCTTGTGGAGCGATCCCTCATATGATGTTATGCGGAAAATACAGGTCGTTTAAAATGAGGCGTGCATATGTATTCTGAAATCATAGCATCCACATTGATTCAATAAAATACACTGTGCATGAAAATTGAAATCCCACTTTGGGTATGAGACGAAAATCATCACTCCTCCCTCACTTTCGGTTATTTTCCCCTTCCAATTTTTTTCGGAAAAATGAATGAATTAACACTGGTACATTACGACTTGAAAAAAATTTGGTGTTGAGTGTGAATCAAAGCGACAATTCCAATAACAAGAAAACAAAATAAATGTTTTAAACTATATACCACGAATAATTGTAACAGATACTTTCAGGCGACAGAGTAATTGAACCATTTTTATTCAGTAATACCAGTAACGCTGAACTACTATTGATTTGTTTTTCATTTTGTTGGATTGGTAGAAACAGCCCATATGAACAATGACCTCCTCGCTCTCCCGATATAACTCCAATGGATTTTCACTTCTGTGGAACTGTCAAGAATAGGATTCACAACTCTCGCCCACCAAATCTACGAGAACGGCCAGCCTGCCGTGAAATGAGTAATATAATAATAATAATAACTCTATTCGTCTTTTCGATCATTTATATGATATAAGACGTGTAAAGTAGAATCTTGTATTTTTCGAGAGACAGAATAATTCTATTTGCTACTATTTTTTCAATAAGTTCAGGTGGAATACTCAGTAATGATATTTGGCGATAGTTACCTATATCTTCATGTGAACCCTTTTTATGAATAGGAATGACTTTGGCTGTTTTGAAGACACTCGGAAACACGCCTTCCATTATAGAGTGATTAATAAGATTCAATAGAATTTCAGATAAAGATGGAATGACATATTTTAGAACTTTTATTGTTATATCGTCTAGGCCACTCGATTTTTTTTTTAGTTCGGTCATTGTTGAAACTAGTTCAGATTCTAGCACTTCTTCAAAAAACATTGAGTTTTTGTTAAAATCCGAGACCGTATGTGGTAGTGACATGTTCTGATCTACATGTCTTAACAGAGCTGCCTAGACTTATCTGGCAAAGCGGCAAGCAAAATTATTGGCAACTTCTGTTCCACCATTGATCCGGATACCATTTGCTTCAAGATGAATATTCCTTTCATTGTCAATTTTTGTTTTCCCTCTGAAATTATTTACAATATCCCATCTAGCTTGCTGTTTGTTTTCAGCTGTTTCTATTTGACAATTACGCAAACGTAATATCCTGTTTTTAACTTCTTTAATCTATTTCTATATTTTTTTCCCTTCTGTATATGTCACTCACTTCTCCATCTATCATTCTTTTGTGCAATTCTCTCAACTGACTGCTTTCATTCTTAACTTCTCTCGTTACCCAACTTTATTTTTCTTGCTGTTTTTGTTTTACATTTATCCTATTTTCAGGATATGACACGTCAAGACACCAAGTCAATTCCTTCATAAAGGAATCAAATGCATTATTTGTAGTAAGTCCAATTACAGAAGTCCAATCAATATTACTTAGTCGTTTCCCAAGTTCTTGTAAGTTCTCATCTGTAAATTTTCTATTGAAGTAGGTAGTTGTAGCCAGAGAATCATTCGCTATAGAGTTGGTAAGATTGCATGAGAAAATATGGGCAAGATATTTGGCTAATAAAGTATCATATAAAAATACACTGAAGTTTTCTTTTGAAATATTTGTAACAGGGTAGTCAATTGCTGTTGTACTCACATGGTTATGTTTATTTTTTTAGGATATGTGTTGGCTCATTTGTTGTTTTGGTAAGATGAAAGATTCTAAGCAATCATTTAATATTTTCGTTTTGCCATAAGTGATATCAAGACTTTTCACGTTTAGATCACCATAGACAATGAAATAATTAAAATTTTCCTGCAAGTAAATACAATTCTGCTCCAATTTTTCAATAAATATATCAAAATCACCCAAAGGAGGTCTATAAATGCAACAGATAGCTGTTTTATATTTGAAATTATCCACTAAAGTGACTGCACTTATTTCAACATGCGACTGTACCGAGATATTTTCAATATATTTCATTGACCTGCATATTAGCTGTTCACGAGTTAAAATAAGAGTTCCTTCATATGGAACTTGTCGAGCAAAAAAAGAAGCCACCTGTAGGTTGGGAAATGATAGTTGAGCCATATCAGAACTTTGAACCCAGTGTTCAGTATTCAGTGTTCAGTCTATTTCGTTTATTTTATTTTTTATAATTTGAGAATTCACATGAGCTACTACCAGAGTATTGTCGCATCTTGTTTTTACAGGTTTAGTCACATGCTTAGATTGGGAGCATTTTGGGATGATAGGGAGATTGTTAATAAAAAATCTTTACCTTTACATACACTTCTTTCTGGCTCTAAAAATGTATCACCAATTAGTGATAATGTCTCACTCGATGTATACTGATCAACTGATTAGCTGATTAACGAAAAAAATAGATTTTTTAAACAGATACATTGCTTTTTTGAATTCACTTTCTGCCAGTGCAAGTTCGTTTGCTAAATATTGGGTAGCCATCATTTTTGAATTTGTCACAGTTTCAGCATTGAGAGGTTCTGGTTTGGATAATTCACTTGGGACACAGTTAGACAGAACATCTCTACTTTTCATATGATTTATTATAGCTCTGCTTATGTATCATTTTCCAATTTTGTTTACATTGCTACCTCCATTGGTTCCAGAACTTGGGAGAGCGCCAAAGTCAAATATCAAAATTGAGGGCGGGCCAGTTGAGAGAGACAATATTTAGAGCTGACTTCCAATATTAGTGTTTATTTTACTTCCTGTTGAATATCGCTTCATTAATTGTCATTTAATTTCGACCAATGTCGCAGTGGCTTTTTAGTAACTAATAATTAAAATTTGAATTTTTTCATTATGAATATGAAGTTTTTTATTTTTATTACTACATGATAACGAATTCAATATTTTCCTTGCTTCTTACAAAAAAAAGTCAAACTTCGAATTTCAGGTTGGAATTCGGTAAATAGGATCGGTCAAAATCGATTTTTAAACAACTATTTCAAATAACTTATTTCGATATCATCAACGCGATCTCAGTTCCGCTTTCTCTAAGTGGCAGAAGTATTTCCTATTTTGGTAGAAATAAGACAAGTAAATGAATAGTTGATCATCAGATTGGATATAGGATTCCCAGGTTGCATTTTCTGGTAACACGTAACTGACCGTCATTTACTACAAATTACGATTTTCAGGTCGCTCTGGGAACTAACCCCATATCCCTCGGTGCACCAGGACTGAACGGAGATAGTTTCGTGCTGGACATGGCCACAACAGCAGTCGCAGTTGGGAAGGTAATTTATTGTGATTCCTTTATTTTCTGTTCGAAATCACAGACGACTCGGCTCAATTTGCCATTCGAACGAAATGTTCATCGAGAGGTTTCGAAATTAGATTGGAAATTGGAGTGCATACAACTGACTAGCGCTTCCCGAGATTTTAAAAATGTCTAATGAAAAAATATTGAATAAGGTTTGTTGAAAATTATCAGTTATTAATAACTGAAAGTGTATTGTTTCGAAATTGAGTTGACGACTCGATTGAATATTGATAGTGATGTATTGTGTCTTCCTCTCGAATCATCTCTGAGCGATTTTTTCATTAAACTATTTTCTACTTCGGTAGGGTAGACTTACTTTGCAACACTTTTGGAATATGAATTTCACTATTTCGGACTTCCATTGTCTAGTATATAAAATGATTTGAAATCCCTGAAAGGCATTTTGTCGAACTACTAGGGTCAATTGAAGTCACACAGGAAGATCAATTAATTCTTTTCGATGTGAAAACCTTTACATCAACGTTCCGGTAGAAAAATCACTTCAAATCATACAGAGAAAGCTATCCGAAGACGGGAGAGAAAGAGAGAACGAATCTACCTATATAGAAGTAATTATGGAATTACTAGGATGCTGTGTACGAAACTGTTATTTCCAACTGAAGGACGAATTTTTTACACAAGATGAGAGAATGCCAATGGGTTGGCCACTTTCACCAGTCATACCCAACATATACATGGAGTGGCTTGAAACTCTGGCCATTGAAGAAGCTCACAAGAAATCTCGAGTCTGGTTGAGATATGTTGACGACACCTTCATAATATGGAACCACGGGAATACTGAACTAGACGCCTTCCTGAAACACATCATCAGCATGAGACCTTTCATCACTTTCACAATGGAGAAGGAAATCCACAACAAATTGCCAATCTTAGACGTTTTGGTGAAGAGGACCGACACTAAGTGGAAAACATCGGTATACCGAAAACCCACTCACACGGGACAGTATCTGAACCACGAATCCAACCACCATCAATCGACCAAAAGAGAAATCATCAAGACTCTATGAGACCCTACTTTCGAGCTCTGTAATACGAAGAAAGGTCTCATATGTTTTCAGAAACTCAATGATTTTGCAATCAATTGTATTGATAAAAAAGCTCTGGTCGAAGAGAAAAGCAAAGTTAGCCCCCTTTTGGGCCTACTGTGCATCTGTTCATGAAGATATAAGAGATGACTTCTCACAATAAATTTTATATCTACCAAAAATGCGGTAAAATTTTTCGTTTGTCAGGTATACCCGTATTTTCAGTATAAATGTTTGGGAGAAATGCATTCAATACTCTCTGAAATATTGTCAACATAATCTTCTAGTGTTTCGCTTGTTATCTGAACTCTTCTGGACAATCCTTTCTCTTGAAGACTGCGAACAGTGAGTTGCAGTAGTTTTTTCAGGAAAATCTCTGTAGCTGCAAGAACCTAACTGGCGTTTGTATTGTTTGTGTACCGTGTGCAAAGTTACCTCCATTGGTAAGGAAAAGAGCACGCGGTCATATTGTTACAATTATTTGTATTTTTTCATAATACATATCAGAAATACGCGGTCATCGTTTTGAGGTTCAACTCAGTACACCTTGAACTTCACTGTTTAGGAACTCTTTCATCTGGAGAACTGCCTTTAGGTGGAATAAGCTTTCTAAGAACGTTTTCCCAAATAAATTAAATCTACAGCGATTCAAATCTACTTTCGCACAGGCACCGCTCTGAGAGCGCCTTCGGGATTTTTCTGTAGTGCTTGTGTTTTATCCTTAAAAAAATTCCATTGAAGAATGTAGAGTAAGGAAATTGGCTCTTGAAGCATTTACCAAATTATTCCACAGAGTAGTTGTTGAAGTGATGCTAGGCTGAACCACGAATGCATTCCGAAATATATTGTGTTACATTGTGTTGCTTTGGGGAAAAAGTTGCAGAGAAAAATATGTTGGACATTCTTTCCGAACATTCGTTTACTAACATTTTTGTGACTAGGAAAATTATTTATGCATTTGGCCACACACCTGAATAGATGACTGATCAACGGAGCTATCATATTGGACTATTCAGCCGTTGTTTGTGATTCAGATACGCATCAAATAGAAATGTTAGCAGTTCAAGTGACAAATGAAAAAGAGTATGATTTGATACACATTCACAAACCACAAATTTGATGAATATTCTGAATTAATAAATTACCATAATTGAAGTGGAAATGGTACATAACAGATATTCTTGTTCAATGCCGTATCGCAGGTTCGACTCTGGTAGCGGTATTAGTCTCAGTAAACGAATTAAAATCCCTAAACGCCAGTTTATTATCAAAAACTCAGTTTTAGTTTACTCAATCATCATCGTTGCAAAAACAAATAGTAAATACAGTAGTCAACCGTCTGAATACAAACTTTAACTTACTCTTTCCCCAAATGAACAACATCGTGACATCTGTTAATTCACGACATGTACTTCAAGAGGACAGATTGGTACTCAGTAGAGCTAAGATAACTCTTGATTCAACATAACAGAAATTCTGACTGTAACCTCCGACTACAGAAGATAGCAGAATAAAACCTCTACCATTCACTAAACATCATTGAATACCCTCTCACAACACCACCACCGATTAAAAAATAAATGGCCATCTTCACCGCAATAAACGGAGCACGACTAATCCATCTTGGAGAAAAGATACGTCCTAGAAATAGTCTATTTTCGTCACGACCTCTAAAGAGTCATATCTGCATGTATCCGTCGAGCAAATAAACACTGGACAACTTCTTGAAGAATGAAAAGGGAATAGAAGAAATCAACAGCAAACGAATAAGGTTACCTAACCAGGAACTCCTTACTCTACATCCCTGTATCGTTCATAAAAACTTACCGCCAGGAGCCCACGACCACCTTCTCAACATATTTAACAGAATATCGAAAAATGACAACTCCATAGAGATCTGCTCAAAATAAAAAACTATTCCAATCCTGAAAGCACAAAAGTGCAAAGCGAACCCTGATTCACCCGGACCTATTTCTCTTACATGCGCAATGCGCAAATCATGGAGAGACTCGTCAAAGCGTGTTCAGACGCGAAAACAAGAAATTATCCTTCAAACAAGTTATTGTCTGGAAGTGGTATTTTAGATCTAAGACAGTTATTTATGTATCAGATGATCATTTACACTTACGAAAGCAAATCCTCAATATAAAAAATGAACCACAATTATTATACAAGATACGAAGAAAACGAACATGCAAAGCAATACAGCCCAATAGGACACTGATAATGCGAAATTATACCTACTTGTCTTCAAAGGTGTATTGCCAATTATGAATTAAAATGGCAATTCCAAATCATGTAAATCATGATAGAATAATAGGTACATTTTTTTCTTTGTAGCTATCAATGCCTTCTCATATTATTTTTGAAATGTACTTGACTGCTGTGTAATCCATTGATTGTGATTGAGTACCTTCTGTTCATACCGTCGAGCAAATAAACACTGGACAACTTCTTGAAGAATGAAAAGGGAATAGAAGAAATCAACAGCAAACGAATAAGGTTACCTAACCAGGAACTTCTTACTCTACATCCCTGTAAAATATTAACTTCGTATTTATTGGTAAATGTTTCAGAACTGAGACAATTACCGAAAACTGATCTGATCCCAATCGATAGTAAAACCTTTATTTTTCGAAAATTATTAGTGGAAAATCGTTCTGCCTACTTAGTTTAATCAATATAGTCAGTATAATGATACATGTTGAGTATTTCCGCAGTAGTGATGAAAATTAGTATCAATTTTAATAACAATATACCCCACTGAATAACTCAATGATGCAAATTTATCACAAGCACAAGCAACAAAACAAAAAATGCGAACAATGGGAAAAAATTCGAACTGATAAGCCGTGGTCGAATGGAATCTGAAGCACTAAACGTTTCGTCTGCTACTGCAAAGACATCATAAGTGGTATCCAAGTGTCAGCAACGACTGACTGGTGAGCTACGCGTTCACCAGTATTAAACATTTCTGAGGATGGTGGGGAGATGATGGACGTGATGGTGGTGGAGATGGCGACGAGGCTGATAATGGGGACGGTGATGGCGATGATGGCGGGGTTTCCATGGAAATACTCACTCCTAATTGTTTCGCACTATCACTAAGTTGTTCTGGTTGGTCTACATTGTTGACAGTTATGCTACTGATGGATGTCGATCGGAGTCATATTCTAGTCCATTTCTAGCCTTCTTGAGTACTGGATACTACGTTCTGTTTACCCGTATACATCGTTCTTTTCAGTTGAAGTTATTGAAATGCTCATTGATCTCAATGGCCTCTTTAAGATGTCATATGTGGTAATGCGTTGAATGAGACAGGACAGCAGTTTCACAGGAACAGGGAATCCTATAAACACCGACAGATGTCAGAGGCTCTCTTTCGTCCTTGGCCTATCTGATAGTGTTTCGTAGTTGATTGTAAGTTTGTAATTGGTCTTGATATTGTGACGTTCAAATAGTTTTTCGATGCGGTGGGTGACTTGTTCATCTAATTCAAATAGAGTGTGCCCACCACCGGCGGCTGTATCATGGTCGAAATTGAAGTATTTCTTCTACTATAACGTTCAATTTCTTGACTGTGAAATCATGTGTCTGTAGAGCTTGGTCTGTATGACAAAGTTCTGCTTTAAGAAAATGTGCTTCACAAATCCTGCTGGCACGAATCAACAAGTGTTTTCATCACAGCAGGTTTTTGCCCTGTATGGTGGTATTATTACTTGTTGAGATACCAGTCAGTATGAGTAGGTTTGCGATAAACTATGTGAGTTAGATTTTCATAAGTTTTTTTGTCTACCAGTGGTATTCCAAAAATGGCATCTTTTCTTCGTTTTCTATTTATCTGGATGCGAGAATGAATGGAGTTGAAGCAGCGTAGAAACTGTCATGGTTATTTCCTATGACTCCAATTAACGAAAATGTCATCAATATAGCGAAACTAACAGGTAAGTTTTAATTGAACGGAGCTGAGCGAAAACTTCCATGTATAAATTTGTAACCGCAGGGCTGAGAGGACTAACCATAGCGACTTAATTTATTATTTGTTGATGGAAAGAGGTATTTCATTGTGAATGTATAGTGCTGAGAACATGGTCGAGAAGTGCTGTTATGTCCCCTGTGATATCCTTGACCATGGTGGAGAGAGAAAAGACATTGAAATTTTCCTGAATATAACTCGGCTGCAGGACCAAAGTACTTATTTTCTTGATGGAGTGAGATGAGTCCTTAATGTAATATTCGTCCTTGTCCTCGCAGTCAACGCCTATACCACTGATGATTTCTGTATCAGTAGAGAACGAAATGCTTGGTACTTCAGGTTCCATTCGACTACAGTCTACTAGCCCGGATTTTGTTCTCTTCTATCGTGATTCTGGTTATGAAAGCATATGTTCTTGAAAAATATGTTTTTGTTTTCAATTTTTGCATTTTCATCATATACGCCATTTCGTCTCCTAACAAACATTTTATCAGATAGAGATCCAACGAAGAAAAAATGAACCAATCCCCAGTGGTTGGGCTCTTAATAACGATGGAAGACTCGAAACTGACGCCAACATTGCCTATGACGCTGGAAAACTCTTGCCTCTTGGTGGAGAAGAACTGAACTCAGGATATAAGGGTTATGGTTTAGGAATGATGGTTGAGATATTTTGCGGAATATTATCAGGTGGGTTATTTGCTTCATTCCAAAATTAAATTATCATTTTCCAAAGAGTATCAACTCATTTTAAAGTTTATTCTTATTTGATGTTAAGTTTCACTCAGAAATATTTGCAAACTGTTTTTTCAGCGGTAAATTGTACTCACATGCTCATTTCATTATAAAACAGGGGTGGCAATCACTTTAAAATTTCAATAGGAAGGAATTCCTTGAAATTATCTTTATCGTACTCGCCGTGGGATTCAAATTCTACCTGAATTCCTTCAGGTATTCGATTACTCATTGAATATTTAAACTGACCCATCTGCATCTATATATATAACGACAAAACATTTGTTCAAAAAGTTTTCCCACATTTCCATATACAGTGTCACCGATAAAGTCCGCATCAAATGGGAAACTTTTTTATTTATCGTTTTATACTACTTATCAAAATTCAAGCACACCTGTACTAAATCATTTATTTTAACTAAACTCGTCACCGAATTCCTTTTTTTGTAATATAATAATATTTTAAGAGCCTCTTTGATGTTAAAAACAAATTTTGAAAAATAAAAGTTGTCAAACTTGATGCAAAGTTCATCTAGTTTCAACGGGGAGTCAGTCACAACCAGAATCGAGTTGGGAGATGTTTCTTTTTTCGACAAGGTGTTCTTTTGTTTGGTACCAGGTGAAGCTCAATCCGTTGATGTTATTCTGGGTCGAACTTCAAATGAGAGAATCTCCGTCATTTCTCCAGAGAGGGTTGTCGTTTCATTCCAAACACAGACATGCTCATTGAGAATCCATATAAATTGAGACCTGCCACAATAGAGAAACGTCAGAAGTTGGGAAAAATATCTTCAGCACAACTAGCGCTAGTCATGAACCTATAACAGCTGAAATGTTGAACGTTGGACAAGCGACTGGTAAGGATATAATTGAGAGGGAGCTATGTTGTACCGTTTTGATACAAATGGACATTGATAATGTCCATTTATGGTAAACGATAATGTTAAACGAATCATTAGCAAGCCATATAGAGCCATTTTAGTTAGAAGAGAGACAATTAAAAGTATTATTTGTGAAATAGGCGTGATAATGGAATTGTTACAGACCCTGAAAGAAATATGTTATTCACTACGGAAAAACTACTGTGATGGTGTATCGTAATATTTTTGTAAATGAAGTTTGTGAAGATCAAATTGTTCCCGGTGTAGTTTGTGAAATTACTATGGATCTTCATCAAGTAACGGTCGAGTCAATCAGGTGAAACACGATTACTGCTCGATTATAGACGTTCAAATAAACAAACTGAAAAGTTAATATATCCTATTCCATCAGTTGATGAAAAATTTGAAAGTTCAAGCAATTACAATTCAACTTCAAATCTTGCCCATGATTATTCACAATATGCAACGGCCAAAACTTCATTTGTAACTCTAGATGAACGAGGTCAGTTCGAAAGGATAACTTTTGGTCTATCTAATGTTCCATTTGAATTCTGCCAACCTCTGAACTCAGTATTAAGTCTGTGAAAAACTGATGACTGACAAAGACTCCAGTGACGAACAGATAATTTAATATGCAAAAGAAGAAAGAACAAAAAAAGAAGTTACCTGTGAAAGTCAGAGGCCAAGAAGAGAGAGTCGTCTTCCAGAGTGATTCAGAAGCCAATAATTATTTTTTTATTTTGATTTTTTTTTCAAAGAATACGGTCCTGTAACAGGAAGTTTGCAGAATGTAATTTGCTCCCACGCTTCGTCCTCGTTTGTTTTCGACGAAGTCAGCGTCTCTAAACTGTTCTTGGAGTGGGTTACTCAGTTTTGTCAGAATAGGCTGATTGATAGATTTTGAAAAGTTGCTACCTGAAAACAGGGATGCACTGTTTGGAACCTTCGGTGTAGTAGTGAATATTACTGGAGTTCTATCCCAATACTAAACCGTTATTTTTGACACCTGGACATGTGTTTCAATCACCAAGTGATCATCTTCCAGAGGAAGAATGAACTGTTTGATTTTTCTCTTGAAGATGAATGGAGGCCATTTCGTAAACTTTATCCGTTGATTGTGTAGTCATTAATATTACTTTTGATGATTTTCTCTGTGTTGTTCTGTTTTTCCTTAAATAAAACGTTCAACATTTAATTCCTCAATAACGAATGAACCAATTTAGATGGAAAAAAATACAGAAGTAATAGAGGGAGAAAAGATCTTTCAAATGATGTATCACTCGACCCCCCATGCCTTTGAAAAAAATAGGGGTGGTAGTTGCTGACCGCAGTGGGGTGAAGTTTCGGGTATGATTTCCATATCAGAATTATTCTCCCTAGAAATGAAAATTAACGTGTCCTTTGAAATTTTCTATTACACATCTGTTTTTGACTTGCAGGGAGGGTCAAGTTTTCGTTGGAACGCCCTATGTAATAAAATAATGTTTACGTATGAACTGAAAGGGAAACAGATTTTTTCAAAGTTTGTGTTCAGTTCACTATAAGAAATAAAAATTATAAGGCAAATAATAAAAATGTGAAATTTACTATTCATCTTCAGGTTCGAAGTATGGACCCAATATTCGAAAATGGAGTGCTTTCTCTGAAATCGCCGACAACGGACAAGCATTCATTGCAATCGATCCCAATGCTTTTGCATCCGGTTTTGAAGAAAGAATGAGTGATTTGATGGGAACGCTGCGAAAAATGGAACCAGTAAGTATTATAAGGTTTCTGTAATCAACATGCTTGAGTAATCGATATTTCCCTACCCATATCGATTTTTCGGAATTGTACTTCACTTCAAAAGGAATATAAAACATGTATGGTCTCGCTTTGAAACTATTATATGCAATCAATCCTATAAGTGTACAGAGTGGACCAAATTGGACACTTTTAAAGAGAAACTACTGTTTTCAAACCAGAAAGATGAAAACTGATGGCTGTGTCTGAGCGTCAAATTGTAAGACAAACCTAATGGCGAAAACCGCATATCGATATGTATCATAATTTTTTCTGATTTACATGTTTTTCGAAAATGTGTCTTTTCGAAAAGTTTTTTTCTGTCAAAAATTTCTTGTTTCTATGAAAACATTTCCAAATCACTTTATTACATAGAATTCAATGGTGTAAACTCATTTTTCAAATGAGATATCACATGTGTGATTGATGACTGGTTTATTTTGTGCAAATTCGTCAAATTTCCACTGGTTATTTTATTTTTACGACCGGTTTCGTGTTTTACCCCATTATCAAGTATAAAACTAACATGTGAAAGCCTTTTAAATGTCATAGTTGTGTGATAGAGGTTCAGAACTGTGTAACTAATGGCGTGATATTAGACAATTCTGCGAGTTAGCGGTGGGAATTTTTAAATTTGGATGAAAACCAAAAATATATAAAGAAAGCATATTGGGGAAGAAAATTTAATTTTTAACTTTCAACATATGTTTATGTTCAAGGTGAGAATGAACACTTCCAGTATGGGATAAATCGTCGTAGAGAGAAACTAAAGATATATATTCCGATTCCTTTTGCTGAATAGAATCAGACCACTTCCGATTTTACTTTCGATTGCTCGATTCCACTGAAAGTGGCATTATGAAATCGTCCACATACTAAGAAGCATAGTCAAATATTTCCTGAGGCCAACAGGGCTTTAATGACGTATTTCGATTAATAGAGGTGGAACAAACCGATGTGAGTACTCATTTCGAATATTTTCACCCATAGATATGGTAAAAACGCTGATTTAAGGAAAGTATTAGAAATATTTGAAATTTTGAGGTATTGGCTTGTGAGCGGGACTTGCGTTCACCATTCAATGCTTCAACCAACAGCATCTTATATATGGAATTTCGTATATAGTATAACTGAAACAGTGAAAGTATGGGCTACATTCGTTACAAGTAAGTTGAATTTGTTGAAAAATTTTGCTAACTAGTTATATTTTCCATTCGAAGTTATAGCTTTACTTTTGGCCAACTCTTTTTATCTAAACTATGTTCCAGAAATTCCCGCTGATAATGGATAAAGTTTGAGTATTTTCAGAATTGGTTGCCTTTTTTCCGCCTATTTACGTTCAATTTGATTACTTTTGAAGGATCTTAAGCCGTGCTCTTGTATTTTGAATAACTCATTCTAAAAGTGCCCTCTCACATTACCTATATGGTCTTTAGCCTGCCTTTGGCTCAGATTCTTGAAGTATATACTTTGTGTGAGGGTCCAAAGCAAAACATATTAAAAATACAATCGTTGTCTTTATACCCCATTTTTCACCCCGAGTCTACCAAATTCCCCTAACCTCAAAGTTTTTCATTTGTTTCATAATACCTTCTTAGAATTTGCATAAACTGCCAATTCTGTAAATTCTTGCAAAATCAATCACTTGAAGAAAAGCGCAAGCCTGATAACATGCTCGGAAATGAAGCTTAGAATACAGTAAAAGTTGAAGATGCTAAACTTGCCGAAAAGGCTGCTGCTCTAGTAACAACATAAATGAAAACCAAAAAGAAATTTGGAATGTGAACAAAGATGCAAAGATGATTATCAAGAAAGTTGAGGGAAACGTCAAGTGAAAATAAGTAAAATAGTATCATTTGGAAGTAAATATGGTGGAATTTTACACTCATACAACTATTTGCTGGTGTGAGTAACTTATCATGCAACAGGAATCACTAGTAGTTGACTCTGAAAAAGAAATATTTGGTTCCATCAAATTTCAATTGAATATCGAATCCTATGATAGTATTCCAAATATATCCGAAGGTCAAAACAAGTTATTTTAAAAAACTAACCAGTTAAATGTTCTTATACAGTGTGTAACAACGAAAACTTAACAGAGCCGTTTTTGAATATAAAAAGTAAGATTTTTGAAAAAAACTCGGGCACGTCAATTTCTAAATGTTCTTATACAGTGTGTAACAACGAAAACTTAACAGAGCCGTTTTTGAATATAAAAAGTAAGATTTTTGAAAAAAACTCGGGCACGTCAATTTCTAATTGAAAGAGGGACACCTTTCAGACTAATCAGATTTTTTGTAGTATGCACCCCCTTGGAGGGGTGCGTCCGATGACCCTTATTTAGATAGGGAAAGTGGGTCGAGTGGCACCTTGTTTCAAATGTCTTTCGAATACCTTTAATTCCATTTTAAATATCAGACAAATATTTTACAAAATCAGTACCATCTATATAAAAAACATTCTGCAAATACTGACATAATAGAACATCAGTATGATACAAGATCAAAGACCAATATATGCTTTCAAATTGCTAAGTGTATTATACATTTAATGCAACACTGTATATGTATTGGTTGTAAAATTTACAATATAATTCCACGAGAAATTAAAAAGTTGAGAACAACAGCATTTAAAAAAACATTACACAATTGGATATTAGATAATAGTGAAAAAATTGATAATGTGCTCACATTGAAATAGTTCAGTTCAACAGATAATTTATTTCACCCTCATTCATAATAAAATACTATTATTGATACATTTCTCCTTTTCTATGTATTGTTTCATGAACAATATCTTTCAACAGTTAACATTATCTTCATTTTTCAACTAACCCAGTCAAACAAAAGTGTTTACACTTAGTAGACTGTGTTAAAATATTATACATGTAATTACAATTTTTTGATATTCATAGACATTCACTTGATATTGTACATTTGTTAATAAATTTGAATTTGAGTTTGAATCTGGTGCAGAGGCGAAACCAGAGATAATTACTTTTTACAATTCAACCAAAGGCGGAGTTGATACAGTTAACCAACTTTCTGCAAAATATAATGTTTCGAGAAATACACGTAAGTGGCCATGGTAGGTAATTATATATGGACTCCTCAATGTTGCTGGTATAAGCGCCATAGTTATATACAGAAATAATTCAAATGGAAACAATTCAAATATCTGCCAAGAGAAATTAGACAGCTTGCAGCTAGAATTAGTGCTACTGTGTTGGTTGAGCAAGTCGAAATTGAACAAAATAAAAGTGGAAGATGTACCTTCTGTAAAGATCGGAAAATAAGATATACATGCCGGTTTTGTAAAAAATATATCTGCCTAGAACATTCTGTATCTGTTCGTCAAGCATGTACGGCAAATTTTTTGGAATAATTGTTATACATGGTGTTTAGTGCAACGATACCAAAAATGCATACCGTTTTTATTTTGATTAGATTTTTTTTTGTTTTAAAAACGGGACATTGTTTCCCGTTCTTTTCATAATTATTTGTCCATATAAATCATTTATGTAACACCTAGCCAACTTTAAATATGCACAATATCGTTCACTTCGACTATGCAGAAGTTGCACCTGCTGGAGACGCTGGAAATAAATACTATAATCAGCCCCGCAAACACAGGTTGATTCATGAGACACTTGATATCTTCCATGAATGGCACGAATGCGATCGCACTTAGTCCAGAATTACTCTTACCTGGTTGTTTCATGAACTTTTTCCAGGAGATACTAACATCAAGCTTGAGATACACTAACTTCCATCTAACACCATGTACCGAAATGCAAGCTGATCTGAAATGAAGTACTGTTGGGTGGGGAGCTACCTGCTAACACCAGTGGGGGCGCCTCCCATTGTTCAATCGTGCAACTATAAGATGGCGTTTCCTTCCGTTGGCGTTCTGGGCTCTCCTCCTGTCATTTCACCCTTCTCCTACACCCATCCCTAACATACCCTCTCACCTTACTCCCGCTAGATTTTATGTGTATATATAGTGTATTATTAGTATTATAAGAGAAATAGGAAATAAAGCGTTTTCATTTTGGTTTCCCACTGACCGACCAATAGGAGGTGGACCCTTTACTATTATTGAACATTTTTGGATACTACTAAAATATTTACTCATATTCAAAATTTACCTGATGTCCAATAATTAAGAGTGTAATAGGTTTATTTATTTCACTGGAGATCACTTACACTATCAACCAATTAAGTTAGGTACTTAATACTGTTGAATATAATTATATAATTGTAACAATATAATTGTAGCCCAGTATGTATTATTCATTTCTACAGAAGAAGATACTGTGTTAGCCAAACGCGTCTGGAAATTAAAATGTTTGTGAAAATCATTATCATGGATGATAATTATTACTATGTATTGATTTATTGGACTGTTTCACTAAAGACTCTCACTACTCTGACGAGGATATTGTACTTCGACCTTCATTTTCATAGAGTATTAGTGAGCTGTTTCAAAAATCAGACATTGTATTTTTGAGTTTTGAGGGAAATCGATATTGCTCAACTATGGAAAAATTAAGAAAAAAAATTCTTTTTGAAAGTCGTGTCTGAATAGAATTACTGTTCTTAGTAATCTAGCCACGGGCATATATCAGGCAATGATGGAGAGCCTGACGCAATCAAAGAAATATTCGGATTTTATTTCATCAGGAAATTGAGCGCTAGATGTATTATATAATTTTTGATATCAAAGAAACAAGAGAAAAACTATGGGAAATAGAAAACGTTTCGGTCCCTGAGTGCTCTTCATCCAAAGATATAATGTCCGAGCGGTAAATCGTGGTAAATCGATTCTATTCGTTAGAAGGTCGCCTTCTGAAAAATCCCTACTTGTATAGGCAATATTCAGCTTTCATGAAAGAATATTTGAAGGCATGATACACAAAAAGCGTTCGTGTATGTGATACCTCTCCCAATACCATTTAAATTCTGCATTGTTGTGTCCTGAATCCGAAAAGTACTACCAAAAAGCTGCGAGTGGTTTTTAACGCCACGGTCACCTAATCAAAGATTTTCGAATTATTACTTTTTCGTTGATCCCAAGTTGCAATAAGATATTGTTAGTCTCCTCATGGATTTTTGTTTACTGTTTCTATCATAATATTAAAATGTATCTTTTTATTAAATTAAAAACAAACGAAGCTACACTAGCTACAGATGAGGGTGACAAGTGTCTGTCAATTTCATGCGTTATTCATACTTTCTCCTATATTAATGACTTTGTTTGCTGCGCTAGATTTGATGAATGGGTTGATCGCGGAGGCTTTGACATCAGAACATTCTTCAGTAACAAAATTTTTCTTTTGAATACTCAATTCCCTTCGAATGTTGCGAAAAATTCACTTTTGATGGACTTCAAAAATTCTTCGCTCAAAGTTCTTGGCTTGAATTGAAACCGCACATTGGTTTTCTTTTCCTTTACTGTTCTCCTATTGTAAAAACGACTTTGTTCGAAACATATACTTCGTTTCGAACTAGCTCGGATTTACCAACCTTCAGGTTTTGTATCCTATGTAACCTTTTTTCTCAAACATTCGATCCAGAGGCTATGGTCTTCTGATATTAGTTGAGATGATACACCTACTAATAACATTATTCGTATTTTGAAAAGACAAAAAAGAATTGCATATGATATCGGACATGGGTATCCTTTACCTAATCATTCCATACTTCTTCGTCGCTTGTGAGTTGCATGGATTTTGTGACTCCAGTAAAAA